ACTCCCTGGAGGGTGCCAGGGGCAGCTGGGTTGGTCGGTAACACCCTCTTTTCCTTTTTAAAATTTTTCTTTTATATATTTTTACTCATGTCATCGAGGAAGGGAGAGGGAGAGTTAGAAACATCAATGATAAGAGAATCACTGATCGGCTGCCTCCTGCACGCCCCCTCCTGGGGATTGAGCCTGCAACCCGGGCATGTATCCTCGACTGGAATTGAACCTGGGATCCTTCAGTCCATCGGCTGACGCTCTATCCACTGAGCCAAACCAGCTAGGGCTCTTTCCCGTTTAATGCTCCATCCCTGGCATTCCTGCAGTCAGCAATCCCTGGTGCTTTCCACACTGTGTGTCTCATCTTCCAACCCTGTGTAGCCAATCCCTGTATTCAAAACCCTCTGCTCGAACTCCCTGGATAGTGTCTGTTCTGACTGTGCTGTGACTACTCTAGGGAGAGCAGAGAACAAAACGGGGTACAGTGATGAGGCCCCAGAGAGAGTGAGAAAGAGAAATCAGGATGGAGCAGGCAGCTGCTGTGGTTCCTGATCTATCTGTCTGTCTATCTATCTATCTATCTATCTATCTATCTATCTATCTATCCATCCTTTTTCATCTATCCATCCATCCATTTTATTTTCTTTACTGGTTCTTGGGCTCAGTCTCTTGCAGTGTTTCTTATCCTTGGGGCCTATGAGATTCCTCCTTCCAGCAAATTCATCTTTTACTAGTGAGAACCCATTCAATCCTTTGCAAAGCCCCGAGCCCCCAGAGAACGTTTAAGCGGCTGACTTCCTTGCCTCCTGATCGCACACAGGAAGGCACCGGCCCTCAGAGAGAAGGGGGAAGACTCCTGCACCTCAATCACAGGGCCCTGGGACGCTCTCAGCACCACTAGGTTTTCCCGCAGGACACCCAGTGGGCTGCAAAAGGGGCGATTCTGCCTCCCTTCCCCAGGGGACACGTGACAATGTCCGTGGACATTGTTGGTTCCACAGCTGGACGGGCAGGGGGCCTGTGCTTCTGGCATCTAGTGGGCCGAGCCCAGGGATGCTGTTAAACCACCCGCTGTGCGCAGAACGGCTCCCTCCACGGAGAGTGACCCAGCCCCCCCGCCAACGCGCTGAGGGTGAGACACCCTGGCTAACCTGACCCCGGGCTGGCTCAGAAGCCGTGGAGGGAGCAAGTCCGCAACACAGTCACACTCTAGAGAGGTCCGCACCCCTCGGTAGGAGGGAGCCAGTTCTGGGGAGCCCACTCCCACATGTCCACAGACTCACCAGAAAGGAGCAGAGGAAGATGAAGGAAACGAAGTAAAAATAAGCAAATTCATTGCCACACTCGGGAGTCAGGATGCCGGAGTTTTTATCACACGGCTTCCCGCTGAGGCAGGAGAGCATGATGTTGTGCCAAGCCTCCCCGGTGGCACTCCTGAGGACAGAGAGGGGCGTCAGGGACCGGGGCGCCCAGCCCGGACACCAGCGCCTCCCAGGGAGGCGGGGATCGTGGCGAAGCACTTGGGCTCCGGAGCTGGACCAGCCGGGCTTGAGCCCCCGGAAGCACCTCCTTCCTCTGGGAGCTCAGGGAGGGGACTCGCATTCTTGGTTGTGCAGTGAAGCCCATGGCGGGGCGGGGGCGGGGGGAGTAAAAACGCGGATGCCAATGCCTCACTATCACAGACTTGGGTTCAGCTGGTCTCGCTGGGGCCTGAGGACATAGGTGCGTTTAAAAGACTTCCCTCCGTCCAGGTGTTGTCATATTTTACTGCTTCCTCCCTTGGTAACTGCTCCAGGCACACTGGGCTCCTCCAGGTTCCCCTCCATGCCAGCCATGCTCTGCCTCAGGACCTTCGCGCTCGCCGTACCATCGCCTGGCCTGCCCTTCCTGGGATACCCATCCGGCTCCCTTCCTTGCCTATTTCTCTCAAATATCACCCCGCCCTCCGTTCCTTTTTGGTTGTTGTTAAATGAGGAAAACAATGATTTTTACTGTGCCAAAGTGTACATAACATAGAACTGACCGTTTTAAGCATTTAAAAATGTATCATTCAATGGCATTCAGCACATTCACAATGCCGTGTAACCGTCACCACGATCCACCCCCAATACCTTTTCATCTTGCTCATTAAATAATAACTCCCCATTCTCCTCTCTCCCAGTCCCTGGCAATCTCTACTCCACTTTTTTTTCTCTCTCTCTCTCTGAGTTGCCCATTTAAGTACAATCACACATTATTTGTTCTTCTGTACCTTCATTTCCCTCTTAATCTCAAATTCTATCTCCTTCTAGTATCCTCTACAGTTTACTACTGATGGTCTCCCCCACAGGAATATAAGTTTCCAGAAGGCAGGGAATGTTGTCCCTTTCTGCTTGTTCCCAGTACCTACACCAGTGCCTGACACACAGTAGGTGCTCAATAAAGCTCCCATGGGTGAAAGAAGGAACTCTAACATGCAGCCAGGATTGAGAACCAGGCCTCAGAGTCTATAAGCCTTAGTTTCCTCATCTGTCACATGGGGCTGCCAAGAACCCCCCCTCACAGGATGGTCAGGAGGAGTCAATGAGACGATGCTTGAAAACGCCTTTCATGTTTGAGTCCCAGAGCCTTTAGCTACTAGCCCACCAGGGTTCCTGGGTGCCCCATGCCGATCCCAGGCCTCACGGGCACAGAAGACTGAGGGCACCCCCTCCCCCACTGGAGGAGAAGGAGAAGGACACCCCCCACTGGAAATGAAGAATGAAAGGGCCGCCTCTCACCGGAAGAGAAGCATGAGGGCCTGGAAGAAGGTCCGGAAGTTGTTGTGCTCCGTGATCTGGAAGTCGTCCTCATCGCTGTCCTCTTCCTCCACGTCGATGCCAATGTTGCCAAACACCTGGGGGATTGGGGGGCGATGACCAGGGGCGGACGTGCCCCTCAGGGGCTCCAGGGAAACCCCACCCAATGCCCACGCCTGCCTCTCAGAACTGGGCTCCCGACCCCCCTCTGCCTAAGGGCAGTGGCCCTCCTTGGGTGGCTCTGGGAACACCGGGGGGACCCTCACGCACCTGCATCCCGATGATGGCATAGATGAAGAAAAGCATGGCAATCAGCAGACAGACATAAGGCAGGGCCTGGTGGGAAGGAAGTTAGACAAGAGCCCTGCAGACCACGTTCTCAGCAAGTGGCACCGTGTGAGCATCGCCAACCTCCATTCTGGATTCAGCTACAGCGGTGGGGGGCGGGGGCTGCTTTCCCTCTCAGCCCTGAGCGGGGCAGTGGCTCACCTTGAACGACTGCACGAAGGTCCAGAGAAGGATGCGGATGGTGTAACCCTGCCGGAGGAGTTTGATGAGCCGGGCTGCTCGGAAGAGGCGGAGGAAGCTCAGGTTGATGAAGTTATTCTGGGGAAATGGAGAAAGAGGGGTGACCATCCACCCACCCCCAGGGGCTTAGAGCCATCACCACTCACAGAGGACCCTACATGAAGCCAACCAACAGGAAAAAGCAAGCCAGACCCCAAATAAGGAGGGAGAGGAGAGAAAGCACTATTAATGCAATGGTGCAGAGGAAAAAACTTGAAAAAGGGACAAAGTGGGGTGGGGTGGGGGGAAGGAGGAGAAGGCATCAACTCAGAAAGCATAAGCCCTCCCTGCCAGCCCCATCCGCAAAGGGGAAAGGAAAGGAAAAAAAGGAGAGAAAGGAAAGGGGTTGGGGGTGGGGTGGGGAAGAAATAACAAAAGAACAAGGAAAAGAAAATATATCCGAATCATCCAATCAGGAAAAAAATCGAGATGGTTTTTGTTTCTCCCAACAACCAAATGCACTGAGACGAGAGGACACAAGCGGGTCAAGTTGCCAAATCCATCACACATACGATGCACAAACACCGGGCAGGGTGGGGGCCAGCGCACTCAGGCCTGGTGGACGGGGGCGGGTTCCAGGGCATGTTACGCTCTAGGCCAGAAATGCATCTGTCGTGGGACTCACCGGGCACCCTGCCCTGCCCTGCCGAGCTGCCCACCCGCTCCTGCCCGCCCTCACCTCACCCCACGGCCAAGAGGACTCGAGCCAATTGGAGAAGTGGAAGAGCATCTTTTCTTACCCCCTTGGCGAGCGGGCATGGGGAGGACGGGAGGGAGCTGGGGCTGTTCGGCTGCAGGGCGAGTCCTCGCTGCCCGCTGAGTCGGAGAAGATGCATTTGGGGCCCTTTTCCCCCCTCTCAGGGATGGCTTCTCAGCTTCTGGGGCTGGGTGGAGGTGCACGGGACCAGGCCTGCGGGAAGCAGGAAGTACGCAGCGCCCGTGGGTGGGTGAGCTGGCCATCGGCCCAGGCCCACCAGGGGCGGTGCTGGGGGCGGGGAGGTGGGCCGTCCCTGCCCCCAGGACCTCCCTGGGTGGCCCCTGCCTCTGCGCAAAGACCCCTACCTAGTTACTGCCTCGACCTCCCACCCGAGCCAGACCACAGGGGGACGGGGAGGTGGGCGGCAGCCGGCCAGCTGGGTGGGTTGGGGCCCTGGTCATTATGGAGCTGTCCTGGGACTTGCCCTCTGGGGCCTCAGGGGGCACTGGTGAGGGACAAGGCGCTGGAAGTCACAAATGGACCAAATCTAATCACCTGGTTGACAAAGTTATTTTGTTGGGCCTGAGCAGTTTTGTAATGAAAAGTAGTTGGCACTGTTTAAACTTCAGATCCCCCCCAATCTGGCTTTCTGGCAACCCTGGACCTGCTTCCGTCCTGACAGCAGTTAACTGGGGCTCGGGAGTGGCTGCCCACCTCGAAGCAGGCCAGTGTCCTCCGGTTTGTCCAAGGCCCCTGCTCTAGAAGTGGCACCTGCTTTCCGGCTCATGGCGCGTGTTGGCCGCCAGAAGCACTTGGAGTTTGAGAGCCTGTCTCCGCAGACACGGGGCCGCCCTGCCGGGCGCTCAGCCTGCGATGGAGCGGCCGTAACCGGGACTCGGAGACCCCGTGGAGCAAGGTGTAAACGGGCCCGGCCCTCACCCCCAAGTGGCACAGGGGTGACCACACAGGTTGCCCTGCCAGTCACAGCACCCCTTTCGGTCTCACAAGCTTGGATGATGAATTAACTGGGCATCTTCCGTGCTGGGTTCCCTAGGGCGTCCCAGTCCCAAATCTGTACCCGCTCGCTCTGGCCCGGGGGCCGAGGCGGGGATGGGGCTCAAGGAATTTCTGGGGCGGACAGGACGCCTCTGGGACACACCATTGGCCCCTCTGTCTCTAGGATGGGCGTGGGGACCGGGAGATCCTACTCTGAACCCAACGGGCCTACGCGCTGTCCTGGAATGAGCCCCGCCCCAGCTGGGCTGCGAGAATCACACGGTGCCCACTGCCCTGACTCCCGCCTCGCCTGGCCACCCAGCTCCACCAGCTGTCCCAGCCTTCTCCCCTCCATCCCCAGAGGACAAGCCATCCCTTCGTGGGGTGGGACACGCGGGTGGACTCGCTCAGCATGCAGAGGCAGGCGGGCCCTGGAAGCAGCCTCGGGGCTCGGGGTGCGCGGGTGCCTGCCACCATGCGGGAGAAGCCAGGGGCCTCGCGGGGAGGTGCGGCCGAGACATGCGGAACCGAGGGGGAGGGAGACACGGGGGAGGGAGGGTGGAGATGAGAGAGGCCCAGGTGATGGGGCAGGGAAGGTGCTAGGCTGCCCTCCCCCACCCTTCCCCCTCTCCCCACGTCTGCATCCAGTCCTTCAAGTGCTCACAGAAACTTCCGGCAACTTCCCTTTTTCTAGCTTCCATCTTCCCGTCCACAGGCCACAAGGAGCAGCTGTTCACTCCTCCAACCCTGCCCTGTGCATCCAGGTTCTAGGGTGCCCGGGCGGGTGCAGGCCCCGAACGCTGGCGTGCTCGGGGGCGCGAGCGCTCAGGACAGGGGAACGACCTGCCCGACGGCTCCGGAGAAATCCTGCCCCTCCAGCCCAGAACCCGCCTCTGAGCTCCAGCCCCATAACCACCTGCCTGCCGACTTCTTCCAGGGTGTCCTTCAAGGCGCCTCACACACTCACGCTCTCCCCAACCCGGCCTTCTGGCGTTCCCTAACCTCCTCTGGTTCAGGCCACTCACGTCCCTCCAGGTACCCCTCTCACCCACAGCCCAGAGGGACCCATCCCCGGGTTCTGGAGGGGCCCCTGCTCAGATGGCCAGTCCTCTGCTGGCCTCCTCCAGCCCAGGCCCGACCAAGCCGCTCGGGCTCTGCAGCCACAGTGACCTTGTCTAATCACATGTCTGGTGGCACCTCCCCGGCTCCACATCCTCCCGAGCTCCCACAACAAGGCCCCAGGGGCCTTCCCCTTCTGTGCTCTTCACATCCTATGGACCAGCCGTCCGCCACACCCCTCACTTGCAGAGCCTGGCCCCCGCGTGCTGTCCTGCCACTGGGCCTTTGCATGTGCTGTCTAGACCTCGTATGCCCCCTCGCCCCCTCCACCTGGTTAGCACTGCTCACCCTTCAGCTTGCAGCAATTACAGTGTCACATGGGTTTGCGGAGTGGTTTGACCAATGTCTGCTCCCCCACTTGGCCAGGTGAGGGGGGCAGTGGTGGTGTCTGCTTTTGCCCCCCCCTCATCTGTGGCACGGAATTGGGGCTCATTAAACGTTTGGGAAATGAGCACACGTGTACCGCTAGGGGAGGAATCCTGGTGGAAAGATGCCACTGGGGTCCTTCATAGGGGCTCAGGGCTGGGCGGGAAGAGGCAGGTCAGATGACAGAGTGAGGGTTGTCAGGTGTGTAAGGAGCTGATGAGTGAGGAGAGAGACAGTGTATGCCGGGGTGGGGTATGGGCGTGCAGGGTGGACGGATGTGAGAGAGGAGAGGCATAGTGTGTGCATCTGTGTGTATGTCGGTGGAGAGAGACAGGGGGGGGGGGGGGTCAGAGACAGGGCCAGAAAGAGGAGAGGGCACGGGTGTGCAATGACTGCGTGTGTGTGCATGTGTGTGTGTGTGTATGTGTGTGTGTGTGTGTGTGGCACACGGCCTTGGCTGGCGGGCCCATCTGGAAGCAGCTAGACACCAGCCTTAGCAGTTCTGTCTCCCTCGCCTGAGAGTCTTTGCCTGCATGCTGCCCCCCCCTCAGGCCCCCCCCCCCATCAGGCTTGGAGATTCGTCTCTGGTGATCAAGCCCAAAGAGCGCAAGGGCTGAGAATGGGGTCAGGGGTGGGAGGCCCTTTCCTGGGGCCCAGGCTCCACGGAGCTGAACAGGGAACGAGTGACTTGAGGGAGCTGAGGGTTCCGAGTGTCAGATGCGTGTAAGCGATGGGGTTGGAGACCCAGCAGCCGACTTGTCCTGGCAAACCCATCCTTTTCTCTGCAAAAGATGCAAATCAAGCCAAACAAAAACCCCAATTCAGAACCCAATGAAAACAAGGAGAGAGAGAGAGAGAGAGAGAGAGAGAGAGAGAGAGAGAGAGAGAGAGAAGCTCTATAGGAGTGAAGAGGGAGGGGCTGGGGGGTTGGAGAGAGGGACAGACAGATGGGGGGGAGAAGAGGGACAGACAGACGGGCGGGGGGAGGGGGACGGGGAATAGGGGGGTGTCAGGGGGGGTGTCAGGCATTCCCAGTCAGAAAGCCCAGGGCATGACATGCAACGCTGATGCGAGAAGATGCGTTCACAGTTAATGTAAGGCATTTAGACTTCAGAAAGAAGTAACACCAACCGGATTCTAGATGCAGATGTTGAAGATGGAGGGGGAGCGGGCGGGCGGGGACAGTTGGGGAGGCGTGTTCAGCGTTTTTTAGGTTGATTTGTAACCAGTGCCAAAAAACCAATGGGTTTCGGTTCCCGGGCGGGGAGTGGGGTGGTGGTGGGTTGGGAGATAGTCATTGGTGTATGAACACACAGACCACGTCATGGATGAACAAATGAATTTCATAGTGCATTTTGATTGGATGAGTTTTTCAGACGGCGTTGTGCCAATATACAGTTTAAAGAGCAGGCATGAAAAGAGACAAGACAAGAAACACAGTCATTATCCATCGCACGCAGAGCAAACCCACGTCACCCTGGCCACTTAGGGGCAGCAGCTGAGGCCCACTGGGTCTCCTGCCCTCTCCCCCCAACCCTGGGACCTGCCCTCCGAGGGTCTGGTTCCTCCTGCCTCAGACCTAGCGGGCTTACCTGGGGGGCAGGAAGGGGGTACTGTGGGCTCCTTGCCTGGCAGGGCAGGCCTCCCCCCATCCAGGTTGGGAGTTTATCATTCTTAAAGGGTCCAAACACGCACCCTCTAGCTTTCCCTCCAAATGATTCTAACTCAGAGCCAGGGGCTGGCGAAGAAACTAAAACCCAAGTACATCCACGGTAATAATGGCAATAACAAAGCCACCATTTGTGACCTATGTCTTCTGGTAGGTTCTGTGCCAAGCACTTCACATTGATGGCTCTGACTTATTAAAAGTTGCCATCTTTCTCCTATGAATGTCAGCCCTATGCGGGCAGCATTCTCTTTTTATATTGATTGATTGATTTCAGAGAGAAAGGGAGGGGGAGAGAGATAGAAACATCAACAATAAGAATCATTGATCAGCTGCCTCCTGCATGCCCCCTACTGGGGATCGAGCCTGCAACCCAGGCATGTGCCCTTGATGATAATTGAACCCAGGACCCTTCAGTCTGCAGGTGGATGCTCTATCCATTGAGCCAAACCAGCTAGGGCGAGGCAGCATTCTGGTATATTTTGATTTGTTCACTGCTCTGTCTCCAGCACCTATAACAATGCCTGGCACACAGCAGGCGCTCAATGCATGCTTTATCGAGTGCATGAATGAATGGAAGATCTGATGGGCTTAGTTATGATGATCCCTACATACAGGTTGAGAAGTAACACCATTGCTCAGCGTCAAACAACTCATAGGGAGGGCTGTCTGACTACTGTAATGGTCTTGGTGCCCTTGAATTGGATCCTGTGCCCCATCCTCCTGCCCCCCCCCATGTCTTGCAGCCAGGAGGACGAACTGTTGGGGTTCAGCCCTATGGATCTCTTACTGGCAATTGGAGGTGATGACCAGCTTTCTCCACCTGCCTCCCTGGGGTGGTAGGCCACACTTTCCAACCTCCTGACCCAGAGGGACATCGGGTCAAGGCTGTCTAGAGCTCAGTTGGGTGGCAAGAAGCCAGCTGGAGCTCAGACTTCTTAGAAACTTAGGACAAAGATGAGGTCTAGGCTCTGGCTGTCTGCTAGGGGACAGTGGCCAGGTGGGGGCAACCCAACAGGGACAGACCCCAGGGGGGCACGACCTCTCTGGAGGAAAGTATCGGGGGGTGGGATGCGGGGAAGGGGAACTTCTGGATCACGTGAGCTGAAGGCAAAGAGTTGTGGCCAAGATACCACTTGGGTGAGAGTGTTGGGAGATGAACGGCCCCTCCTCTGTGTTGCTCCCCAGCCCTGCCAGTCTTCTAGGATGGAGAGTGGGCCAATCGATCTCCTTCTGCTGGGGGCTCCTGTGGGGACACCCCAGGGAGCACCAATGTCCCCTCAGGAGTCACCAGGCCCGCTGCGTCAACTTAGGCAGACGCCTCTCTTCCCTGAGCACCGAGCCTCAGTTTTCCCATCTGTGAAATGGTACAACACCCTCTTTTTCGGGCAGCACCCCACTCAGATCCACCCTCTGCTCCTCTCTGCCTATTGTGAGCATCGCCCTGGCTCCCGGGTGTTCTCGCTCCCTTCTGGCTGGGCTTGGCCCATGGGAGGTGCTGGCAGGAGTCGGCACGAGGAGAGAAAGGCTGGGTGTTTCTCGCCAGACGCCTCCTTCCTGCTTTGGCCCTTAGTCTCTGTTAGGGGTTCTGCTCCTGAGTCCACAGCCCCTCACCCATCCGGACCAGGTTCCCTCACCACTTCAGCACCCGGGCAGGTAACAGCTCCTCACAGTGGCTGGGTTTTGGATGCCTTCCCTCCTCCCTGAACGGTCTCTGCTTTCCAATTCTTAGTTTAACGGTCCAAGGGAACTCACTCACATGCTGAGCCCTACACCTACACCACGAGCGAATCCACGTAAAATGCTGGGCACAGTACCTGGCACACAAATGCCCCATTCTTGTCGGTCACCATTGTTTTTATTGCTGTTACTATGAAGTGGATCCCACCCGGCCCTTGGCTCTGACACCTTCTGCTTTTGCCCCTCCCCCCACCTCCTGAGGGCCCTCAAGCCTGGGCTCACTGGCCAACGGCCAAGGAGGGGTCTTGAACAGAAGATCTGGGGCCCCGAGTCTTCTAGACAAGTTAGAGGGACAATGTGGGGCCAGTCCAGAGCCCCCCGCGTGGGAATGCCCCAGGCCTGGGGGTAGAGAAGGGTGGATGCCCTGGCACCCTCCCGAGGTTCTGGGAGGGGTGTCCCTTCGTTGGCCCAAGGGCCACGGCTCCCTCCTGCCCATGAACCAGGAGCTGTTAGTTCAGGCAGAATGGACTTGAAGCTGGTTCCCTCTGGGCCCCCAACACTGTGTGGAGTTCGGGGTGGGCTCAGCCTTGGATCCTTTAAGGGCCTCGGTTTTCTCAGTGCACTGAGCCCACGTTTATTCATACGTCAACGGGGCAGGGGAGTCTGCGCTGCAGCACTGGCCCATGGCTGTGGCTCTGGGAGCTCCTGTCTTCTTGAGTTGCCCTCCTTGGAGGGGGGGGGCACCCTGCCTCTGGGGGCCCTGCTTCTCCCTCTCTGCTCACGGCCGAGTGCTGGCAAGAGCCAGCGGTGGCTGTCGGGACCTGCTGCTTCTGGATGACCTCTTCCCCGTCCCCCCACCCCCTCCCAGCCAGGAGTTGCCCAGAAAGAAGCCGGCGGGAAACTTACCCCAAACTCAGTCACGAGGATGTCGGTGATGCTGCCCAGAACAGTCACAAAATCGAAGATGTTCCAGGCATCGCGGAAATAATTCTAGAATGGGGACCCACAAGACAGAGAGGCCAGCTCAGGGCTCATGCTGGGTCCCCCAAGGCCAGCCGGGGGCACAGCTCCGATCAGCCCAAGCGCCTGGGACAGTCTTGGCCCTTTAAGTAGCAAAATGCTCCTGAGCGGGCTCCTCTGAGTCGCCCTCCCACCGAACCAGGCCTGCCACGGCGTGCCTGACCCCAGAGGGGGCCTCCAGGGCCCTGGTCAGCTCTGCTGGGGAGAAGACCTCACAACAAGGATTACCGCTCAGTTTACACGAGGTGACAAGCTCAGAGAGGGAATCATTCACCGGGCTGGTAGGTGAGCAGCATGGACGTGAAGGGCCAGGATCTGACCCCAGGCTGGGACTCTGAGTCTGGGGTCTGTGTTGAGGATCCTACTGAATCAGGACTGTGTTCATAGCACGCTCCCAAAGAGCGTGGCCACTGGGTTCACCGCCCAGCTGTGTGGCTGTGGGCTAGTGACGTAACCTCTCTAGGCCTCTACTTCCTGATCTGGGGAAGGGGAACAGGAACACGGGCACAGAGGCCTCCTGGGCACCTGCCAGGCTGCTTGTCCTGGCTCCTTAGTCGTTAGATGGGGCCGTGTGTCTAGTTCTAGCAGATGGGCTGTGAGCAGAGGCCGTGCGAGCCACTTCCTGGCCAGTCAGGACTGTCAGAACGCTCTTAACCCTGGCAACCTGTGACTTCCAGATGGGGCCTGGGCCCCTGAGTAACTACAGGCAAAGAGAGCCCCCCACCTGCCTCCCCCGCTGAGTGTCAACAAAACCTTTGTTGATTTAAGCAACTGAGATGTGAGGGCTGTTTGTTACTGTAGCTGACTCGACAGGTCCTGGTTGGCACATCCCTGGGCTGGGTGCTGGCTCAATTGGGACACACAGGTACAGCGCATTGTTGTTAAAATACTGAAATATTCCATGTGATTTGAGCCCACACCAAGCAGTACCCCTGCCTGGGTCTACGGGTCTGGCTGAGACGCCGCCTGCACCCCCCCACCCCCACCCCAAGGCTGGTTGAGACTCATGCTAAACACAGGCCTTCCCAGCATCCTCACAAAGCAGAGGCCAGGGCGTTCTAAGTGCTCAGCTCCTCCCCGGTGTGTCTGACCCGCCCCGGGAAGGGCCCAGGCTTTAGAGATGCGCTTCCCAGGGCCAACTCTTTAAGGTTGAGTTAAACGTCCTGAGGTGGACTCTGTGGGTCTTGGCGCCCTCTTCTGGAGGACAGGGTGTAACAACAATCATGTAATGGAGTCTGAGTGGGATTTGGTATACAGTAGGTGCTCAATAGACGGACGTTGTTGTTTTCAGTTACCTAAAAGCAATGCGGGCTCCCATGGCACTTAGAGTATTTTAGCAGGCGCTGCTGGGCCCTGCTCATCTTCCTTCATATCACATGACTGCGCACCTTCGTCACCCTGCCCGGGCCTTTCTCAGGCTGCGCATTTGCTGGGGAATGAACCGGTCCCCTGGGAGCAGCCCTTCACTATGGTGATGGGCACTGGAGGATAAATACCCCGCTCCCTTCCCTGTCAATGGAATGATGCTGATGCCTCTCTGCTGCCCCCTGGAGGGCCTCAGTAGAACTGCAACCTGCGCTGGATACCCCTGCCCTTCACTCCCAGTCTGCTTCCCCTACCATGTGTTTCTGGGGGTCGCCTCTCTGATGAATTCTTTTCACTCAATCCTTGTCTCAGGTTCTGCTTCTCGGGGAGCCCAAAGGAAGACAACTTCCTGGGTGCGCAGTGACAGGCCTCCAGTCCCTGGACTACAAGGCTCTCTCCTCTTTGGCCTAATTTTCACCTGGGGAGGTGGGGCTTCATCACTGTAGGGAGAGGGTGTGTGCAGGGAGCCGGAGCCCCAGCCCTGGGAGGAAATCATCACCAGGAGACTGATTAGGAGTGAAGAATCGCCTGACAGCTGCACTGGGCGGGGCCCACAGGACTCATTTTGTAGGTGTGGACACAGGAGCCAAGAGGCCAGTGCCCTGCTTGTGGCCACACAGCTAGAGAGGAGCTGAGGCAGGATTCGCACCCAGAGCCCCGCCCTTCCCCATACACAGGCTGAGACCTGTCCTGCTGGCATTCCCAGGACGAGAATGCTGAGCTGGTGCCACTGCCCTGGCTGCAGGGGCTTCCCTGCCTGGTGCTCAGCTCGGGGTCTAACAGCCTGGGCAGCACCCTGGACACCCCAGGGGATCATTAAAAATACAGATCCAGGCCCTGGCTGGTTTGGCTCAGCTGGTTGGCGCATTGTCCTGTGCACTGTTTCTCTCCCTCCCTCCCTTCCTCTCTCTACCAAAAAAAATCAAAATCAAAATCAAAATCAATCAATAAAAATAAATAAAATTAAATCTTAAAAAATTACAGATTTGCCCAGTTGGCATGGCTCAGTGGTTGAGCGTGGTTGACCTATGAATTAGGAGGTCAGGGTTCAATTCCCAGTCAGGGCACATGCGCAGGTTGTGGGCTCAATCCCGTGTGGGGAGTGCAGGAGGCAGCTGATCGATGATTCTCTCTCATTGATGTTTCTATCTCTCTCCCCCTTTCCCTTCCCCTCTGAAATAAACATATATATTTAAAAAATTAAAAAGAAAGAAAAAAAATACAGATTTGGGGCCCATACCTGAGCAAGTGGATCAGAATCTCTGGGGATTTTTAAAAAAATCTCCCCAAGTACTTCTGAGAGGGAGCAGAGCTGGCAGCCACAGTGTTGGAGGTGAGAGGCGGGCCAGTGAACTTGATTGTAACCCTTCACTGCAGGCTTCACTCTCAGTCTCCAGACACACATTATTTGTGTTTAGGGTTTGCAAGAGTTGTTCTGAGAGAGGCAGTGACGGAGGAGAGGTGAGGTGACAGAGCCTGAAGACCGTTTGAATGGAGATCTTTCTGGGGTTAAAGCTGATGCCCTATACCAGCGGTAGCCAACCTTTCGGACCTCACGGACCACCAGTGGTCTGCGGACCACCGGTTGGCGACCGCTGCCCTATGCCACTTCGAGAAGCCCAGGTGAGACCCAGGCTGACACCATGTGCTGCAGGTCATTCTCTGCAGAGAAACAGGCTCACGGGGTGATCAAGAGGGAAGACATGTGTTTTAAGTCTGAGCTTGGTCACTCATGGGGACCTTCTTGAAGTCACTCCGCGTTACAACCCATCAGCCCGGGCCTTCTTCAGCGTTTTTTGTGCTGCGACCCTCCTTGGCCAACTGGGAGGGCCTTCTCAGAGGAAGCTTATAAATGCATAAGATAAAATACCCAGGATTGCAGGAACACCCATTATATTGAAATATGGTGATCAAAATATTTTTAAAATGGTGATCTAATGATGAATGCACTTCTTCATTAACATATTAAACACGGTTTAGTTGAAGGTTTAATAACCATCGAGATTTTGAAGCAACGATGAGTGCAAACTGAACTGTGAGGTCCCTGCCACCTCTACCATGCACGAGGCAAGTATTTGATCTGTGTTGCTAATGCTGCCGGGTTTGCTGTCTGCTTGCCAGATGGAAGGAAATGCTCAAGTCCACTCAGTAGCTGGCAGAGGTAAAGAGGCAATCACTTGCATTACTGGGAGACGAAGTCCAGTGAGTGGGTTCTAAACTGCATTTGGGGAAAAATAAAGGGAAACGGAGTGCAGTGGAATGACAGGGCATGTGATAGGGGCCGACACTCGTTTCGTTTCGGTGGCCATAGGCACGTCCGAGTGCTGGGCTCCACTGCCAAAGGCATTTCTCAGCTTCGACGGTTTGAACGCCATGGACCTGGCCCGCCTGGAGATCAGGTTCCTTACTTCTAAAACGGGTCATTTCCAGGAATGACTGAGTAAGTGCACGCCTCGCACATAGTAAGTCAACATGTGCCGGGCGTCACGGGTGTCACTTGGCAAGCACAAGAACGTCTAAGTAGAGTCTGTGGGCGTTGGAAGGATGCTCAAGCCACCACTGGGGTGGGGGTCTTGGTGCCAGGTGGGTGTGCCACCACCCAGCACCCAGTGCCCCTCGGGGCTGCCCCCCAACACACAACTCTAGCCCTAAAGCTGTACTTACCAGAATCCCAAAAGCCATGACTTTGAGCACACACTCCAGAGAGAAGAGGGAGGTGAAGACGATGTTGAATACCCTCAGAGCATTTTCATAAGCAGTCGAGGCCCCGTAGAACTAGAGTAGGAAGAGGGAAGGGCGTCGGGGTCAGAGGGCGGCAGGGTCTGGGGAGGCGGCTCTGTGGCTGTCCGAACCGGGGCCAGACAGGACTCACACTTGGGGTCCCTGTTGACCCCTGTGGAGCCAACTCCAGGCAAGCTCTTCACATCAAAACAAAGATCCTGGGACAGCCTGGCGGGTGGGGCTAGAGGATGTCTAAAGCAGGCTTCTGCAGGAATCTTTGTTTCCCCAGATCTCCTTTTAATTCCTACCTGCCCGCTCCCATGAGACACTCCTCCACCAAGTTTTACAATATTTCCAGCCCCAAAGAGTTTCCTTGCATCCCTTCCCAGTCTGTCTTAGCCCCAGAGGTAACCGCTCTTCTGACTCCTTGGGAAATATTCTTGACCAACTATTTAATCAGAGTTGAATCTATCACCTTAAGACCTAACTACCAGGTTACAGGACATACGGCAGATGGAGGGAGAAGTTACAGCCTGGACCCCTCCCCGCACCCCCCTCCCCCGAGGAAACCAATGTATCCAGAGCTGGAACTCTTTTCATTTGGCTCATCTGTTTCTCCAAAAAGTCAGGAGTGTGGGGGAGAAAAGGGTATGGATGGGGAGCACAGAAGTTTAAAAGACAAAAACGGGAGGACATGTGTGGTCATTTAGATCTCGGTTCAAAAAACAACTCACCGTAAAAGACATTGTGGGGACAATTTAATATGGCTCTTAGAGAATTATCACTCATCCTCTCAAGCAAAAGAACATGTCGGAAAATCTTCTTTTTAAGAAATGCATATTGAAGAACTCAAGGGTGAAACAGTGTGGTGTTTATAATTAAAAAAAATTTTTTTTAATTGATTTCAGAGAGGAAGGGAGAAAAAGTGAGAAACAGAATCACTGATCGGTAGTCCGAAACTCAAGCATGTGCCCTGACTGGGAATTGAACTGTGACCTCCTGGTTCATAGGTGGCTGCTCAACCCCTGAGCAATGCCAGCTGGTGTGGTGTTTATAATGTAAATTACTTAAAAAACATAGATGAATTGTCCAGAACAGGCAAATCCATAGAGACAGAAAGCAGATTGGTGGTTGCCAGGCGCTGGGGGAGGGGCATGGGGAGTGACTACCAATGGGGATGGGTTTTCTTTAGGGGGATGGAAACGTTTTGGGAGGTGATGGAGGTAGCGGCTGAACAACATGGTGAATATACTAAATGTCACTGGATTGTACACTTCGAAATGGTGAATATTATGTTATGTGTATATCACCTCAATCAAAAAAATCGCAAAAAAATAGATGAAGGTGACATGGTAAAGTGTTTCAGGTGGGGAACTATGGGTGATGGCGACTGGGTGTCCCCGAGGCCTGGACACTCAGGGCGTGGCCCAGGGGTGCGGGTGGAAATGCAGAGCCCAGGCCCACCACAGACCTGCCCAACCAGCATCTGCCGTTAACAAGGTCCCCAGTGATCTGTGAGCATATCGCAATCTGAGAAACGCTGTGCTCTACTACCCACCCCTCCTCTGTTTGTTTAAAACTGTTCATCGTCATAACAGTGAAAAAATAAAAGAAGCTGCTTATTGAGAGGGTTTTTGAGTGAAAACAGGCACAGATTTTTCACCAGTTCAATAATTTGCAGCTCAATTTATTGAATGGGTTTGAAGTGTCGAGAAATGTGCTAATGTCTTAGCCTGAACTTTCTCATTCACTCCTCCTCCTCGGGGGGGGGGGGGGGGGAGGCAGGGAGGAGGAAGGCGCTAGTATTAACACCTCCATTGTATTGACAGGGAAACTGAGGCCCTGAGGTGTCACGGGTCACTGGGCAAGGTTAAACAATGAGTTAAATGGCAGCACTGGACTCAAATCCAGGCCTTTGGTCTCCAAAGCACAAATAGATTCTGACTTTTCACCCCAAAGAGGCTCCATGGCCCTGAGAGTGGCAAGGTCCTTACCTGTCCCTCCTTCCTCATGCCACTCATCAAACATTTAGCAAGGGCCTCTTGTTCCCTCTGAGCCAGACCTCACTGAACCCTAGGAATTCAGGGGTGACCAGGACTTGTCTGGCCTCTCGGAGCTGGGGAGGGAGATTGTCGGGCAACCCACACTGATGTTAGGGCCTGGGAGGTAACTGTAGGATGCTGGCAAAGATGGGCACCTGGTGCAGCCTTGGGAGATCAGGGAGGGCTGCCTGGAGGAAGGGCTGTGCAGGTGCCCCCGGAAGGAGCTGACCAGATGGATGGTGGGAAGTGTGTGTTAGGTGGAGGGACCAGCTGGGGCACAGACTGGGTGGTAACAGTGCGGCCTGCCTGGGGGGCTCACAGCAGAGGGTTCCATTTTGCTGGAGGAAGGCAGGCCTGAGGGGCAGGGATGCCGCGGGTTGAACCGCGCAGGGGGCTCACCTTCATCATGAGCACGATGGTGTTGAGGGCGATCATGGCCATGATGGTGTACTCGAAAGGCGGCGACACCACGAACTGCCACATGCGGTACTGGAAGCTCTGCTTGTTCTGGGGCATGTGCCGGGTGAGCGGCTTGGCGCTGATGGCGAAGTCGATGCAGGCCCTCTGCGGGGAGAGGCCGGAGGCGTGAGAGCAGGCGGAGCACAGCGCCGGACACTGAACACCCTCCCCGTAACTCGGCAGGGCTCTCGGGTACACCTGCCCCCAGCCAGCACCCCTGGACTCCCGTCAGCTCCCACTACGGCTCTCCTCTCCCACCAGCCATGGCTCCCTGAGAAGCTGCCGTCTGCCGGAACTGGCACGGACACATTCCCTGTTATCTCATGGACTCCGCTTAGCAGACATGGGAAGCGGGTACTATTAATCGCTCCACTTTGCAGACGAGGAAAATAGAGGCTCAGAGAGGTTAAGCCACTTGCCTGAGGTGGCACAGCTGTAAACGGAACCAAACCCAAATGTAAGCTAAAGTTTCCCTTTGAAGTGAAACCGTTCTTTCCTACTGAACACGCTGCTTCTCCTCCTCTCGCAGGCAGGTGCAGAGAGAGGAGTCATGGTCATGACGTCTTAGGTGTCAACAGAGTAGAGGAAGGACACATTCTAAATCCTCCACCTCGCGTGGATATTGCGAGGAGGACAAAGGACCATGTCTATCCACTCTGGTGTGCTGGACCTTCATTCATAAATATTCACCACCTCTCTCTGGGGGACATTATACTTCCCGCCCCTCTGACACCACACGTGGATGAGTGACTCACTCGGGCTAACGAAACGTGAGCAGAGGTGACTTGTGCCACTTTTGGGCCCAAGCCTCAAGAGTTGGACGATGGTTTGCTATACATACTCTCTTTTTTATCAGAAGCATCTTGGAGGGAATGTGGATAATGATGACATGGAGCAGAGCCATTTGGATTTGCAAAGTAAGCAAGAATTCAACCCCGTTACGGCTATCTGGCACTGAGATCTCAGGAATGCTTGTTACTGAACTGACTGATACATACACCGTCTGTCTGATGTATTTTCCTCTGAAAACCACAGGGAGGGCTGCCCTGCAGACGGGGTTCTGCTGGAAGAATGCTGCGGTTCCCTCCCCACATGCCCCCAGAAGCTGGTTTCTGTGTCTCTGTATGTATGTGGGGAGGTGCGGGTGGGGAGTGTCCATTTTTAAATGGGGGGTGCAACTGGAAAGTGGCACCTCATTTTTCTCCAGGCTGTATTCCTCCATCATCTTGTCTCCCTGCTCCTGAAAGGTGATGATGATCAAGGCCACAAAGATATTGACGAAGAAGAAGGGGAACACGACAAAGTAGACGACGTAGAAGATGGACATCTCCATGCGGTACCCGGGGCTGGGACCCTGGTTCTCGAAGGTGGCATCCACGGAGTGCTTGAGAACCCTTGCGGGGGGAGGGGAGGCGGGGGCGAGTGGGACAAGGGAACAGGAATGGAGAGAAATATTAAGAGAAAGTGGACAAGAAAGAAAAACAATCACTGTTTTCTGACTCCAGTTACCATGGTTACTTTATGAAGCCATAGGCTTCCCACCTCCTTCGTCTGTGGGGAGTGTTAACAACCATGCCGGTTACTTTTGCCACCATGCATGTCGAGCCTGTGATGTGCCAGAAGAGATGTTCAACGGTTTATTTATTTTCCCAGCAACCCTCTCAGGGAGGGTCTTACTGGCTCCATTTTGCACACAAGGAAACGAAGG